ATCTAATCGCAAGCAGAGAAGCAAAATTGGGTTAAAGGGTTAGAATAGAAATTGTGCTTCAGTAATTTTGCGTTGATTGCGTTAAATTATTTTAACGCGTTAAGGATTGTAAAATTAATCGCATGCGTTAACGCGTTAACGATGACAGCCCTACTATGAATATAAAATTCAAGAAACTGGAAAACTAGACACCAAGGGTGCTGCAAAAGTTTTTAATTTTCTTACATTTTGGTTGCACAATCGACCACTTTCATAAACCCTTGCATTTTTATAATATTATTTTATAAATTATTCATAAATTAATGTTAAATTCTAAGTCACAAAGATCCTACAAAAAAGCTTCATTTTCTTTATAAAATAAAATAAATAATAATGCTAAATATATGTTTTTAATAATTTTATTTTGCAAGTTAATTATACAAATTACGATATATTTTTATTTCTTGTGTTTAATTAAAGTATCTATGAATATAAAATACAAGTCACTGAAACTGGAAACCACATCTAGACCACCAGATGCAAAAGATAAAATCTGTTACATTTCGATTGCATGATCAACCGCTTTCACAAACCCCTGACTTTTCCCTCCACATCCTTCTGATGCAGCAACCACATTGAAATCAACGAATCCACAGCATAAACTCAAGACTAAAACAGACGCGCTGTGGCGTAACACATGACACGACTCTTCACTGCGTTTGTGCGTTTGGCACCAGTGCAGTTCTCTCATTTCACAGACACAAATAACATCCATGAGCGTCAGGGAAAGAGTTCACCTGGGAGACCCGCAGCCCACGGGCTCCTAATTTAGACCGGAGCGGTCCAGATATAGCGTGGGTGCAGATGTCTGTCTGCCTGTGGCCATTCCACACCAGATTGCACAGTCCATTACCCTCATAGAGAGATGCTTATCACCCACAAGAGCTATTAACCTATATAGGGCCTGGGAAACAGAGCACGCTGCCGTAGTAATGGCTAAACCTCCTTTACACAAGGACGTGCTTATAAACCGATGCGAGTGAATGAAGGAGAACGGATAGATTGGTGTTTCCAACATCTCCAACGGTGACGCCCATCTTTTCCAGTATTTTTCTCATTCATTCAGTCCACAGGCATCTCAAAAATCTCTTCAATGAGTTAGAAGAAAATCCAACCAACTCTCAGATGAACCAAAACACTAAAATATGTGACCCTGGACCACAAAACCAGTCATAAGGGTACATTTTTCGAAATTGAGGTTTATACATCATCTAAAAGCTGAATAAATAATATTTCCATTGATGTATGGTTTGTTAGGATAGGACATTTTTGGCCGAGATACGACTATTTGAAAATCTGGAATCTGAGGGTGCAAAAAAATCAAAATATTGAGAAAATCGCCTTTAAAGTTGTCCAAATGACGTTCTTAGCAATGCATATTACTAATAAAAAATTAAGTTTTGATATATTTACAGTAGGAAATTTACAACATGATCTTTACATAATATCCTAATGATTTTTGGCATAAGAGAAAAATCAATAATTTTGACCCATACAATGTATTTTTGGCTATTGCTACAAATATACCCCAGCGACTCAAGACTGGTTTTGTGCTCCAGGGTCACATATTTTATTTTTGAAGGATAAAAAGACTAAGGTACATGAATGTGACCCAGTTAACAAAAATATGTTCTAAGAATGTTTTGCTAACATTCCCATTAAGATCATTAACACTCAATACGTTAAAAACATTTTTCCTTGGTTACGCGAACGTTAAGGGAATATTCCGTTTTAGCATTTTGCAAACATTGTGGAAACGTTACTTTTGAATGTTCTCTGAACGTTCCGAAAAAAGTAGTAACATTTAAAAACTGTTAGTCGAACATTCAACTAAAACGTTTCAAAACAACATTCCATGAACTAATTATTTTAATTTTGAACAAACATTCTATTAATGATACTGAAAGAACGTTTGTTTATAAGTTTAATAGAGCCTTGCAAAAAATTATCCAAATGCTATAGGTAAATAACCAGAAGAATAAGAGCTTGCAGTAAACAGTACAATCCATTGTTTATCATTATGACAATGCATTAAAATAATATAATACCAGTTTGCAATATCAAGCAGCATAATGATCTTTGGTAGGCCTACCGCTAAAAATACCTGGAAGCGAATGACACCGGAAGTCTCGCACATTCACGTTACAAAAAGGCCGTGCCCGTTCTTCACGTTAAAAATAAGGTGGATACGTCATGAGGGTGAGTAATTAATGACAGAATTTTCATTTTTGGGTGAACTAACCCTTTAAGATTCATGTGTGTGGGTGAACTTTCCTTTTCTTATTTTAAAATAGCATGTTGGAACTAGCATTGGCAAGCAGGTTTGGGCCCGGATGTATTTGTTTGGTTAATAATAGCAGTATGCACTGAATACACCAGTCTTACCTTTGGCGTTTTGGTGCATTTCCCCGTTCTTGCATCTTTGATGTAGGTGATGTCCAATAGATCTGTCTCCTGAAAGAGGGAGGGGCAGATTTTATGCCACAGCTCACAAAAACAATTTCATGCTGTTGAACCGAATCAATATTAGGTTAAATATCACAAAAGCCATTCAGACATCACACGAGGCAACACAGCACGGGAAATGTTGACAGAAAACACTGACGGAAAAATCAAGAATAAATAATAGTTAACAGACATAAAACGTAGTGACTAACTCACACGCGCAGATCCAGATCAAAGAAATGATCGGAAGACTCTCGTTAGAATACACTGGTAAGGAAATGATGCAGGGCCAGAGCGCCGCATTATTTGCGTCTGCAGTGTGTAATGAACATGCTGATGAATATGCTTTCTGACAGCTGCAGCAGAAACCAAAGCTGACGGCATTCTGCTGGCACGACTGAGCTACAACTGAGCTGGAACAAAACAAAGAGGCATTTGCTCCTTATACTCATTTATGCAACACAGCAATGATTGGAAGGTAAAAATAGAACATTTTTATGACGGTAAAACCTGAATGTCCTCATATGCTCCACAACTTATAACATTAGCAACACATGGGAACTTGACACAACGGTGCCCCTGTAATGTGACATCATACTCTAAAAACTAAACCACATTTTCTTAATGCATGCTGTTTTATGAACTCATAGTAATTGATGGATATATAACTGCACTACATAAATATAAGCCAGGCCATATTTAAGCAATATCACATGAGCAAGTGCTGTCGTTTACGAATATGAGTATCACAAACAATGCGATTGCGGCATTTCTTTTTTATAACACTTCCATAAACAAGAAGTTAATATCGATAAACTTACATTTTAACCACACCATCACCGGTTACAGTCTGTTTTTTGTTTCATCAGCGAAAAAAGTTCCAGACAAACACAACAGTGTATCTGAGAAAAATGACTGTAGTGGTGTTGTGTTTCGGGATGATCCAGCGAGTCAGTTGAGTGAACAATTCAATCACTCACTCATAAGAGCAGCTCTTTATTTTTATTCCTGAATGAATCAGTATGTTTGAACGAATCGGTTGAATGAATGATTCACTGACTCCTGAATGAATCAGTGTTTTGAACGAATCAATTGAATTGAGTCACCCATAAAAAAATAGTCCCTTGCCACTACCTATTGGCATAACTTTCAGGATTAATTATTTTAAAATCTCCATACTAATACACAGACGAACAGTATGTCTGGAAGAAATAGATATCAGATATAATATGTTTAATTCAATATATATTATGTATTCAACTCATTATATCAGCTATATATCTGTGTTACTGTGCATTATTGTAAATTATTGGCCTTAAGAGTTGGGGTGCTTAGAGTCAGACTGCAATTATGAATGAACTCGGAACTTGACATGGATTCGGACATTTTGGACTCAAGAATTTTTCGTACTGACGGATCCACGTCATGTGTAACATGACTCAACTGGTTAAGGACTAGGACTCAACTCGGACTCGACAAGGTGGATTCAGACCCAACACTACTGTCCTTTAAAAAAATCCATATCGGTGATCAAACAACGAACACTATCTATATTTTCTATACTTTCTACATGAGAAATTGACACAAATAACCAATTAGATTTAAAGGTCCATCCATTTTCATTATTTCTATAATATATTTCTGTTGATTTCTAGACATTTTGGATGGGTTGCAATCCCCAGCCCTCACTGACACGCTTTTGTGTGCGTGACACACTTCTGAGAGGGCAGCAGACTGCAGGAGAATATACATATATACATTTTTGAGCTTTGACCTACACTCTAAAAAATGCTGGGTTAAATACAACCCAGTGCTGGGTAAAATAGGGACAAACCCAGCAATTGGGCTGTTTTGACCCAGTGGTTGGGTTACTACCCAGAAGGTTGGGTTAAACATTTAACCCAGCCGCTGGGTCAAAACAACCCAATTGCTGGGTTTGTCCCTATTTTACCCAGCACTGGGTATATATACACACACACACACACACAAAACTACTAACATTTTTACAAAAATGAAAAAAAAAATGAAAATGAAAAATGTAAAAATAAAAACGGATTCAAAATATTTATAAAAACTAACAACCCAATTGCTGGGTTTGTCCCTATTTTACCCAGCACTGGGTTGTATTTAACCCAGCATTTTTTAGAGTGTAAAACACTAACACAGGACAAGAAACACGTCTCCTCTAATATTCACTCGGCCACGAGGTCATTCTCAACTCGACTCATATTTACTAACTTTGAAATGAAAACATCCAGAAATGACATTGACGAGAAACCGAACAATGCAAATATAAATGTGTGCATTTTCTGAACACGTGAAAGGTCCCTGCCTGCATGCAGTTATGATGCAATGCAGTTGCTATTTTTTTTTTATATAGTTTCCCCATTTTATGACTATCTATTATTTATGATAATTGCAAGTGCGTGCCAAGGCTTTCTGAATAATGAAAGCATCTCTCACTCAGCCGGTTCATCTATGAAAATCCGCGTATGGTGGCGGGAGCTTCACCAGCGCCATGGCAACAGAGGATGGAGGTGGTCTATGATGGGGAGTTGGGCTAAAGCAATTTGAAGACAGGCACCCTTGAAATCAGCTTGCAGAAGACGTCGCCAGCGAGCTCAGACTCCTGCTTCTGTGCGCACTGAAAATCCATTGAGACTACATGATCAAATATCTGTTAGTTCAGCAGAGCAAACCGCACTCTGTTGACTCTCCATCCACAGAAAACTCACAAACCTGCTACTATATTCAATAATGGAGCCGGTTGTAAGTGACTGTCATGATTTGCTCGACTCTCACTGGCGACAATCCGGCCTGCAGTGCTGCTAAATATAGAAACTCATGTATTGATTTAAATACATGCTTGGTTTGCATAACAATACAGGATGCTATTATATTACTATTGGCCAGAGGCGCCTGTTCTGGAATTCGGTGCGTATTTTATGGACAGGAAAAACTGTCAGGTTTACTTTCATTGCTTTCATTGATTGGCAAGTAGATTGTTATAAAAGAAAAAAAAGAGGGTGAAACCTGTCCAGCATGAGTCCAAGCCATATTTCATCCCAAGAAGAAAAGGTAATAAATTATATTTTGTATTAAAAAATGTAAAAAAAAAAGTCCCATATAAGGGCCATTAAGATTTTTTTGCATTAGGTTTATATATTTTTTATTATATTTGTTATTCTGCTTTGTATTTTTCCTATTTTTATTTTAAAAAATTTGCTTAATCATCAATCAATAAATATATATAAATAAAATATAAAAAAATGAGGTAATAAATTATATTTTGCCCATATATAGGCCCATTTAAGACCATTAATATTTTATTTCCTCATGATATTATTTTAAATTGTGTGACAATTAAGCACATTTTACGTCCTAACTTTTCATATATATATATATATACAGTATATATACATATACACACACACACACACACATATATTACATATATAATTTTTTTTCCATTATATTTTGAGGTAAAATGTGACCTGGAAAATATTTTTGTTTCAGCCAAAATCAATATCTATGTATTTTGGGAGTCCATCACAATTAGCAACGTTTTATTCAATACCATCTGGTATCTGAAGATTGAGTCACTCAGATGAATATTATTCTGATGTTACTCACTGCTGCTTTCACAAACTGACATGAGAAATGACATGCTAAAGTTTGCTGTAATACACTTGCACTCAACTGAACCATAATTGATTCTCTTATATAAAAGGGCAAGAGGAGAGCAGAGGGTGTTATATGCTGCCAAATCCACATTCAACTCATATGACCTCACTTCCTGTTGAGTTCACATTTTAGGTTCATCAAAAGAGGTGAATTAATATAAAAAATGAACAGGTGCAAAGTATTTTTTAACATTCTTTTACTCAAAATCATTGTCATGGCAATTGAGCACTTCATTTTCTGGGTTTATCAGCTCAGTGGTCTTAATTTTCCATCATAAAATATGATTGTGCTTTCTGACGCAGAATAGCAGAATGAACTGATGTTATCTTACCAAACGTGCTTGTGATTCATGTGATTCATGTCATTGTCTGGCATCCTGTACAGCAATGCTGCATGCTTTTAATACAACGTGACATCCTGTTCTCTTCACCCACACTTAACTCCATCAGATCATTCAACACAATTACTACCGAGCACAATCTATTAGATGCTGTCTATCAGCTCAGCAGCTGCAGGTACCTCAGTCAAGATCAACACTGAATCAATAGTACGGCTTTATTTTCATGTTAAGAGTATGAATGCAAACACAAAAAGTGAAGGACAGACTCTGGAACACTTAAAATGAAAAATCATCTATACTTGGATGAAAAATCACTCATTTAAAGTCGATGTGAGCATTTGGCTGTCGGGGCTCCATCTGGACAAAAGACTCAACCTCATTCCCTCCGGACAGACTTTGGAAAGTGACTTTCGTTCTGATGAGATGTATATTTATAATGTCTCGTTTTAATGCTCAGGACACTTAAGCTTAAGGGTGAAGTGTGTACATTTTAATGTTAAAATACTTTCAATGTCACTGGCAGGTTAGTCTAGACCTCAGGAAAACCCAAGGACCAGCGTTGTTACCGTTAACTAAAACTAAAAACACTAAAAAAATAAAGTACGTTAATTGAAATGAATTAAATGTTAAATTTAATAAATAAAAATAATAATGTTAATTTAAATAAAATGTAATAAAATAGAATATTAAAAACGTATTACAGAGATATTTATTTGCAATTAGTTGCAAACACAAAATTTCTCATTTTTGTTTCATTTAAATACAAAATGAAGAAATAAAAAATAAAATAAAAATAAAAATGTATAAAACCTAAATAGACATACTTAACCAAAACAACAAAAACACAACAAAATTACTAAAACTTTCAAATGAAAATGAAAATGGAAAATATATTAATAAATACGAAATGTAATTTATATTAATTAAATTAAATAGAATATTTAAAATTTTAGAGACGTATTAAAAAACTTCACTTTATCTCAGTTAGATGTAAACATATCTAATTTTCATTTACTTTAAGTACTAAATGAAGAAATAAAAAAAATGAAATAAAAACTAAAAGTACATATTTAATGACAATCCAAACAACAAACACAATTACTAAACACTAAAATAAAAATGAAATATATATAAATAAAAACTAAACATTAATAAATACTAAGGTGGTATATTGATAATACTACAATAACACTGCAAAAATTGCACACAAATCTGAGAAGCACTTGTGGAAAAACAAAAACCAAATAATCACAAGCTTCAATAAATCTGCATTCTGGTTTGAGAAATTGTACCTTATTCTGATCCGTCCAGTGCAGGAAGTATCCCTGCGGATCGACGCGTAACGTCACTGGAGTCACCGCAGAAGAATCCTGAGCAGAAAAAAAAATTATATTTATAAGTATAAACACACAGCAGAAATAATATAAAAATGGCTATGGACAACATATTCACAATATGCATTAAAACTTGTTTTATTTCTACTAGTTGCAAAGGCAACATTTCCCATTTCTGTTTAGTTTAACTTGAAGTACTAAAATAACTAAATGGGACACACTTGCTGTTGTTAGATAACAAGTTTGGACAATATCTAAAATACAATATGTCATTATTTTTGGTCTGTACCGCCATACATTTTAAATGCATATATCTGCTGAAAGGTTCCTTTTACACTAGCATTTAGAGCAGGGTTATTATAATTAACTAAAAGTAAAACCAACCAAACAAACAAACAAACAAATAAATAAATAAATAGTTACTTGGAATGAATGTTAAGAGAAATAATATAAAATATAAATATATAAATATCAAATAAAATATTTCTCATTTTCATTAAGTTCAATTTTAAGTATTAAAATAATTTAAATAAAACAATACTAATAAATAAAAATGAATAAAAACTACATAGACTAATGACAAAAACACAGAACAAAATTACTAAAAATAAAATTAAAATATTAACTAAAACTAATAGTATATCCTAAAATAACAGTGGCTCAGAGCAAACAGATGGAATAAAATCAATAAAAGTCCAATTTTAATATCATATATGGCAGAATATAACCCATAAAATTCAATAATAATACAAATTGTTACTTGAAATAAAATAAACTGAAATAAAAAATCAAATACATATATAAAATAAAATATTTCTCATTTTCATTTAGTTTAGCTTGAAGTACTAAACTGACTAAAATTAAACACAAACTAATACATACAAATTAATAAAAAAAATATTAATAAAATGACAAAAACATTTTATAAACTAAAAATGCAATTCCAAATATTAACAAAAGCTAATAGTATATACTAAAATAACAGAGGCTAAAGGTCTGATTTTGATATCATATGTCTGTACAGTCAACTGCAGGAGTTATTTTAAGTACTCAGAATAAAAAGCACAGCAGAATCAAAGTCTTCTGTAAGCCGACGTCATGTTTCAGTGGGAGCTAAAAACTAATCTTGCCTCGCGCAAGAAAAACACTTGGGATTTCTGTAGCAATCCACTTGAAAACATGTTTCTCGATACGGTCTCGGGACGGACCGAAATTTGAGGTTTGACTCAGACGTTGCATAAGCGCTCTATATTTGTGTGATTCATGCAGGCTGGTAATAATTTACCAACCGGTGGAAGTCACAACATTCAAGTCACAGAATATTTGAAAAGACAAGGGGCAAAGCTAACGTCTCATCCGCTGAGGAAAGGGGAGCATTCGCCCCTCAAGCCGACGGCGTCCTCTCCACAGAGATCTGTAACTAATTGTGTTATTTTAGCTCTTGCGTGGGTCCGCCCACATTCTAACTGCACATCTAAGTTGTGTCTTCGCTAATGTAAGGCAGGCAAGGAAGACGGGAATTTAAAGCATGAAAGCTGCCATAGCAACAGGCCAACATTTCCCATTTTATTTGCAGAGAAAAGCTTTTAAACGTCAACATTTTCAGCATAAGCTCATGTAAAGCTGTACGGCATTATTGTGCTGATGGCAGTCAGACTCCTCCAGAAAACTCACACCTACTTAGTGATTACAGCTTCTAAAAGAGCACGATTTTGTCCCCTTTTAAACTTGAAAATGTAAAAGCAAGATGCAAAATGAAGCAATATTTCAGAGTCTTGGACATATCATTCAATTTGAGGCACAGACACTGATTTTCTTCTTCCTTTGTAACATCTCAAATCATTCTGGAGAACATGATCATCAGGTTTTGTTCAACTACATTCTAAAATCCATGTTAATTATGTGAATTAATCTTATGATGTTGTTCATTTGTAAGGCAAATGTGTTGAAATGAGAAAAAAAATGGTAGAGAATACTAGATAAATGGTATCCAAAAATGTGTGATAAAACATTTTTAAATGAGGAAAATTCTGAAAATGGTATCATACTTAAGTGTGCTACCAAAAATTGCATAACATAATAAACCAGCTTTTTTGGACAGAATTCATAGCAGAAGTTTCGAAAATGAATGTATTTAGCTTTAGAGCATTACATAATAGACAAAAGTACTGATATTACTAACATCAAATGTGTTATTCTGCATAATTTGCATAAAAAAAGTGTTTAAATTAGAAAAAATGCTAGAAAAAAAAATGGTATCAGACTTGGTTAAACTAACATAATAAACCAGCTTGTTTTGGTAATTTTTAATGAAGAAAAAAAAAAAAGTTTCAAATGAATGAAATTAAAAAAATATATATATAATAATGCTGAAAATGGTATCAGACTTAAGTATACTACCTAATATTGCATAACATAATAAACCAGCTTTTTTGGACAGAATTTATAGCAGAAGTTTCGAAAATGAATGTATTTAGCTTTAGAGCACTGATATTACCAACATCAACAAATGTTTTATTCTGGATAATTTGCATAAAAAAAGGTGTTTAAATTAGAAAAAATGCTAGAAAAAAAAATCTAGAAATGCTGGGAAAAAAAATGGTATCAGACTTAGTTACACTAATATAATAAACCAGCTTTTTTTGTAATTTTTAATGAAAAAAAAAAGTTTCAAATGAATTAAATTAAAACAAAATAATAATAATAATAATAATAATAATGCTGAAAATGGTATCAGACTTAAGTGTACTACCTAAAATTGCATAACATAATAAACCAGCTTTTTTGGACAGAATTTATAGCAGAAGTTTCGAAAATGAATGTATTTAGCTTTAGAGCACTGATATTACCAACATCAACAAATGTTTTATTCTGGATAATTTGCATAAAAAAGGTGTTTAAATTAGAAAAAATGCTAGAAAAAAAAATCTAGAAATGCTGAAAAAAAAAATGGTATCAGACTTAGTTACACTAATATAATAAACCAGCTTTTTTTGTAATTTTTAATGAAAAAAAAAAAGTTTCAAATGAATTAAATTAAAACAAAAATAAATAAATAATAATAATAATAATAATAATGCTGAAAATGGTATCAGACTTAAGTGTACTACCTAAAATTGCATAACATAATAAACCAGCTTTTTTGGACAGAATTTATAGCAGAAGTTTAGAAAATGAATGTATTTAGCTTTAGAGCACTGATATTACTGTTCATTTGTAAGGCAAATGTGTTGAAATGAGAAAAAAAATGGTAGAGAATACTAGATAAATGGTATCCAAAAATGTGTGATAAAACATTTTTAAATGAGGAAAATTCTGAAAATGGTATCATACTTAAGTGTGCTACCAAAAACTGCATAACATAATAAACCAGCTTTTTTGGACAGAATTCATAGCAGAAGTTTCGAAAATGAATGTATTTAGCTTTAGAGCATTACATAATAGACAAAAGTACTGATATTACTAACATCAAATGTGTTATTCTGGATAATTTGCTTAAAAAAAGTGTTTAAATTAGAAAAAATGCTAGAAAAAAAAAATCTAGAAATGCTGAAAAAATTGCTATCAGACTTATATAATGAACATAATGAACCAGCTTTTTTGTCATTTGTAAATGAAAACAATTTTTTAAATGAATGAAATTAGAAAAAAGAATGCTAGAAAATGTTGAAAAGTACAGTATATCAGACTTCAATGTACTACCAGCTTTTTTAAACAGAATTTATAGCAGCAGTTTCTAAAACGAATGTAGCCTATGATTAAATCTAAATATAAAAGCCATTCTTTATTATTTTTAGAGCATTACATAACAGACCAAAGTACTGTTGTTACCAACATCAACAAATGTTTTACTACAGAACGGAATCTCAAAATCTCTTAATAGTTGAATTACAGTTGATTTTTGATTATTGATGTAACCAAATATTCAAGATCTGTGTGAACTAAAAGCAAAAGTCCAAGAATTGGACATTATAACCCATATTGTTCAACCACTAAATATAATATTACAGAGAACATGATAAATATTCAATGAAACGCCTCACTTCTTAACATCTCTGGTAGCTTTTTTGGGAGAGAATAGCAGCAGTTTCTAAAATGAATGATTAAAAATGACCAAGAATGGCTTTTATACTTAGCCTTAGAGCATTACACAATAGACAGAAGTACTGATGTTACGAACAACAACAAATGCTTTACTTGGATAATTTACAAAACCTCCAAACACACCAAACGTTCTCAAATGCACATTAATGTTTCTTGTTCTGCTGATAATTTGTATAGAAAAAAAGTGTTTAAATTAGAAAAAAAAATGCTAGAAAAATGGTATCAGACTTAGTTACACTAATAAACCTGTTTTGTTTTTTTTTACATAATTTATAGCAGATGTTTCTAAAATGAATGTAATGCTTTTATTTTTAGCTTTAGGGCATTAATAGACAAAAGTACTGAAGTTAATCAACATGTTTTACTGTGTAAAACAAACACATCAAAACCTGAATTACAGTTGATTTTTAATTAATGGTGTAAGGAAATATTCAAGATCTGCATGAACTAAAAAGCTCAATTCCATTAAAACCTATATTGATCAACTACCAAATGTAATTTTGTACACTTTCAAAATGATTTTTCAAAGTTGTAAATAAAAACAAAGATTATTGGAGTACGTTTTACGAGTAAATCCTACTTCAGTCAGTCTCTTGTCAAATTTACATTTACTTCAATCCGTTACTTGTGGTTTCTTTATAATTAATTGTAAAACTGTTAATTGTAAACTGTTTCTACATCAATTTTTCTTTTCAGTGTAAGGAGAATGTGCTAAATATTCAGCAGAACCCTTCATTTCTTAAAATCTCGGATACAAAATAAAGCCTCTGCAATAGAAGAAACAACTAAAAAAATAATGTATGCTTTGAAATACAGAAAATATTAGACATTTATCTTACAGAAAATCCTTAAATTCCTTCATCTGGAGCTGCAGGGAGTTTTCCTAGCAGAAAACTCTTTCATCCAACAGGTGAATGTGTAAGAGATCCTCAGCACTCAATCAATGCTCATGCAGCACTCGCTACAAAATGCGACACATGCACTCTCTAGAAAACTGCATGCTTGTTTTTAAAGGTTTCATATTACAACACATAGTGAGGAATCGCATGCGAGCTTGTTGCATTAGTGCAGTCAGGTTTCTAGTGACAGATTGATGCAGTGATGCATTACTGCACACAAAGTAGCCTGATGTCATTCTCTTGAGGCTCTGCAGAGACTGTGAAGGCTGGGAACATGCTGATGGACTTGAGAACTCAAAACAGGGCGCGTTCCTCTATCAGACCCCGTCTAACCTCAGTAAAGATCAATGGGGAGCTGATTGAGAGGGTCTGCGGCGTTTGCTGGGTTGATGTTGGGCTTGTAAACAATGCAACATCCGCGCGAGCGATCGAACAAACCGCAGAAGCATTCATTCTCTGACTTGAAGACGTCAAACACCCGCACACACACACACACAGGCTGATGCTGGTGACTTACCTCATCCCATTTCATAAATCTGCTGCCTCGCTTCAGACTCTCAGACACGCGCACCGGCTTGAGTTGAAGCGCATGAACGCCAGGTTGAGCTCCAGCCATTCAAGCTTCAACATTTACACCCAAAGCAGCAGAGGGGAAAATCAAGAGTCTCTCTTTCTTCTCCGGGAAGAAGCCAAAGCGGAGCGCGCTGGATGACAGCGGAACAGTTGTGGTGAATGGAAACGCTTTACGCGCACGGATGGTCATTTAGAAGCGCTTGGCGCGCGGACGCGTTAAACGCATGCTGTCTGATTGGACTGAACGATTTGTGATTGAGAACGAAAGGAGTGATCGAAGACGCGGAGCAAATGAGCAGCAGTGAGAAAGAGCGATCATAAATGA